CTTCTTAGTGTTTCACAGCAAAAGTATATTGCAACAGCAGTGTGAAGTTAATCACAACTGGTTACATAACCATTTACAAAGCTTGCAAAATTGATAGCCAGCTTGTAAATTAGCTCCTCATGTATTCTTTGTAAATGATAGCATACAGGTACATTTTGGCCATGAAAAACGATGATGGTGATGGTAATTAAGAGAGCAATGACTTGTCAATTTCTGAGTGGACCATCCTTGCATTTACAATACATAATTGCCCATCATTTTCAAATCAGATCATATAGATAGGCTCAACCTACTAATGCTTCTTATTAAACAATTTTTCGATCCTTTAAAATTCACTTAACCTTGCCAATATGGCAACAACCATCATACCATACATCGTCCATTCAACTTCCAATTCAATAAACTTTTCCATAATCATGATATAATAATATTGTTACATGCATCATTGCATACATCATCATTTCAACATATGCTTAAGTGAATTAATTTCGACTTTAACAAGGGATTGCCTGACTCTCAAACTATCTTTATCATCTTCGAGGTCCATAGATTCCAAGTCAATGGTCAAAGGTGTAAATGGATAGAACAAAATACGAATCCTAGAGACCCCAATAGCAAATAAGTACTTATATATATGTTTCTTTGAATCGTTTGTTTGACATGACTTATAAACAAAATGTCCAAAACCTATGAGAATTAATCCTTCCGGAGTAAGCTTCAACTGGTCTAATGAATGGTATATATGAACTTTTCCCTTCAAATCTCCGTCAAATTTTTTTTTTTGGTTTTTTTCGTTTGAACTAGTCAACTTTTCCCACAGCTTTCCTAGTTGCAAGAATTAATGTTATGGCTGTTAGCTTGTCAACGATGACGAAAATAAATCAACAGTCCAAACAAAAGTGGAATACCCTTTTTGATAAAAGAAATATTATTTAGTTAGGTAAAGGGGCCTCTCTCTCTCTCTCTCTCTCTCTCTCTCTCTCTCTCTCTACCTTTATCCCCCATACATATCCCAAAAACAATTGTTAAGTGGTTTATTTGTCATTGCTTCCATCCATCTCTATCACAAAAAGTAAAAAAAATACGAATTGAATGTTACAATGCAACGAGAACAAATGCATATAGAGAAAGGGCTTTTGTCATTAGTTGATTATAAATGATTGGATATTGGAAATTTTATCTTTTTGGAAGGAAGAACCTTCTCCAGCAGTAGAAGTGGTTGGGTGGGGTAGAGGTGGCGATGAGTGGTATTGTGATCATGGAGGTGAAGGTGGAGGTGGTGCTGTGGTGGTGGAGGAGGAGGAGGAGGAGGAAGAAGGAGTTTATGGATATATATAGGTTTCTTTGGTTCCTCTCGGGATAATTTCCACTTTTATTATAACTAAATTTAAAATTTGATTTGTTTTGTTCCAATGAGAAAAAATTGATTTATTCTGTTTTAATTAATGTAAGGGATAGCTGAGCTATTTAGTTATTATTTTTACACTCATGTAAAAATTTTTAATGAGTCTGCATGTAATAGTTTTTCAATAGTAAGGGGCATTGAGTTATCATAATAGTGTTGTTGCATCATTTGTTCGTTATTTTTGGTCCAATTTTTTGGTCAGTCTAACAATGAATATTCTCCCTTACTAGCAACTGTTCTACGCGTTCAATGACGTTCTACTATTTTTCCATAATCCATGAAAACAATGTGTCAAACACCAAATCCTGGCAGCTATCCTCCAAAATGGGGGTTATGTTTTACTTGGCTTCCTGGTGGTCATAACTTCTAGTAGCTAGGCTTAAATTAGATTAGTTCTCTTTTAGCTTATCTTTTTGCTAGGTTGATGCTTAGAAGACAAGTCGATGAATGAAGACATACAAAATACACCATTAGACCCTCTTCATTTCAATATGAACACCAGACCAGAGTGAGACATATGTGCCGGAAAAGATGAGAAAATAAATTATCAGATATTCTGTTTTTATATTGATTATCCACCGATGAGTATGAGTGACACAAAACAATAACGTGATACACATTTTAGCCATTGAAATTTGGCATATACATGAAAGGGTGAAAAGACATACCACATTTATACGTTACAATTATTTCATCCTCTCAAGTACTGCAATAGGTATTTTTGTCTTTGACAGGCTACTCTTATACGCATTCTTCCCTGCCATAGCAACTTTATCCACACAAACCCCACATCAATTCAACTTTCTACTAGGTTTTAATATAATTAGATCTCTCTTGAATTCAACTTTCNGCAACTTTATCCGCACAAACCCCACATGAATTCAACTTTCTACTAGGTTTTAATATAATTAGATCTCTCTTGAATTCAACTTTCTAGTATGATTGATGCTTAAAAGACAAGTCGATAAGGCACATATATGCACCTTAAGACCTCTACTGCATCTCAATAAATCCATTTTGTTGTTTCTTTTTTTTTCACATGAAAATCTTGAGTCAAATATATATGCTAGAAAGATAAATAAGAATACAAAAGTCAAATATTCTGATATTAATATCTTAACGTATGTGAATATATACTCCATGCATTCCAAATGAATAAACACAATTAATACTATAATATTATTACCCTAGAAAAGCTTTTGGTTTCTTTTAGTTATAAGATAGTCAAAACCAGAGAATAAGTTTATGGTAACCCAAAAAAATAATTTAAAATGATAATAGGGATAAATTATAAATCCAGACATTTTGAATTCGAATTTTAATAAGTTTTTAAAACTAGATTATGATGAATTTATCTCTCATAAATATTATACTTTCCAGTGCACGACATGTTTTTCGTCAAATCAAAAAATAAATTAATCGAAATATGTACTGAACATTTTTTTATCATAAAAAAATAAATAAATATATAAAGGACGAAGTGTCCCACACCACCTTGACAGCTATCTCCCAAATTTCCAATGCATTAATTAAATTTGTATTTTTTTGTGTGCCCCACTGGCAATGATTGGGTCCCATTGCCCCGGAATTGAAAAATTTCTTTCATTGTTGTAAAATTATTTGTTAGGAATATTCCAAAACTTTATAAGCATGTCCTTCTAATTTATTACTAAATCTTAGCTTTGTCACCGCCCAATTGTAGGGAAAAAAAAAACAGTGTCTACAATATCAAAAAGGATGGCTTGGTGTTGACAGGTTGGGTTTTAGTCTAAAATTTTGGTAAATTTTTTTTCCTTTTTTAGCAAAATTAGGAAATTCTATNGAATTCAACTTTCTAGTATGATTGATGCTTAAAAGACAAGTCGATAAGGCACATATATGCACCTTAAGACCTCTACTGCATCTCAATAAATCCATTTTGTTGTTTCTTTTTTTTTCACATGAAAATCTTGAGTCAAATATATATGCTAGAAAGATAAATAAGAATACAAAAGTCAAATATTCTGATATTAATATCTTAACGTATGTGAATATATACTCCATGCATTCCAAATGAATAAACACAATTAATACTATAATATTATTACCCTAGAAAAGCTTTTGGTTTCTTTTAGTTATAAGATAGTCAAAACCAGAGAATAAGTTTATGGTAACCCAAAAAAATAATTTAAAATGATAATAGGGATAAATTATAAATCCAGACATTTTGAATTCGAATTTTAATAAATTTTTAAAACTAGATTATGATGGATTTATCTCTCATAAATATTATAGTTTCGAGCGGACGACATGTTTTTCGTCAAATCAAAAAATAAATTAATCAAAATATGTACAAATTAACCTGAACATTTTTTTATCATAAAAAAATAAAAAAATAAATATATAAAGGACGAAGTGTCCCACACCACCTTGACAGCTATCTCCCAAATTTCCAATGCATTAATTAAATTTGTATTTTTTTGTGTGCCCCACTGGCAATGATTGGGTCCCATTGCCCCGGAATTGAAAAATTTCTTTCATTGTTGTAAAATTATTTGTTAGGAATATTCCAAAACTTTATAAGCATGTCCTTCTAATTTATTACTAAATCTTAGCTTTGTCACCGCCCAATTGTAGGGAAAAAAAAAACAGTGTCTACAATATCAAAAACGGATGGCTTGGTGTTGACAGGTTGGGTTTTAGTCTAAAATTTTGGTAAATTTTTTTTCCTTTTTTAGCAAAATTAGGAAATTCTATGTCAATGATACGAACGTATGTGAGTGTTACATGAGTTCATTTAATAATTCTTAGTAATCAATGTTAATTAAGAATAAGATTGAAATATCAAAAAACACATCCCATTTAGTTAGTATAGAGCTTGAAATGCTTAGATAATATTTCTTTCTTGTCCATTAGCTTCAATCCAAACTGTTTACTTTATTATCTTTTAATGACATTAAGAGTCTAACTAGCATCGTAATGCCAATCTTACAAGATACAAATTTAAAATTTTGTTAGTTCATTTTTTTTTGTACAAATCCATTAGTTCATTGACTCTTCTCCGTTTTTATATTTTTACTGTCTCTCTCTCTCTCTCTCTCTCTCTCTCTCTCCTGGAAGGAGGGTGTGTGGAGCCCGAGATGGTCCTTTGCTTTGCTGGCTTCAAGCTCTCCATTGTTGGTTTTTAATGGGCTTTGTCTGCTGCGCGATACCAGAATTTCAGCTGGCGCGATCAAACACAGCTCTCTCTCTCTCTTATTGATATCTCCTTCTAACTTCTCTCGCTTTCTGTGTGTCTTCTCTTCCTTCACCTCATCTTCTTGCTCAAAGAAGAGAGAGAAAACAAATATACTCAAAACCCATTACAATTCTTGTTTCATTTGATTGATTCACAGATCTAACTCTTCCACTTTCAGATCTTCTTCTCTTTGCAACTTAAAGGTAAGATTTTATTATACTTGGTACTATCCGCTTATACTTCTGTATGAGTATGTCGTTTTATTGGAAAAGCTGTTGAATTATTGTGATTGGACAGTTAAGGGGATTTTAAGAAGTAGGGTTTTTCGTTTTCTTTTCATGGAGGAGAGTTGGATCTTCTGGATTTGAACTGGCCGACGAAACAGTTGTCTGAGGAAAAAATGAATTTTACCACTCTTTCTCGAAGTCCTTCCTTTCCGTTTCCGTTTCCGTTTCCGTGTTGGTGTTGAATTTTCCATTCTAAACGGCTGTTGTGGTCATAGTTTTCGGTGATAAGAATAAAGAGAGATGGATTTCAAATATGAACTCCTTTGTTTTCTAGTTTTCCGGCTATTCTTTGCTGAATTGAACGGAAAGGTGGCTTTTTGAATTGTTAGGTTTTGATTGTTACAAGTTCTAATTTTGTGTGTTTATGTTTTCTGATCGTGTTGTTGTAGACTTGTAGTGCATAACTTATTCGTCTTGCGGAGAGGGAACTATTAACCGTTGAGGTTTATTTTAATCAGTTATCTTTAGTCCCCATTAGATGTGGCCAATTTCGAGGGTGGTTTGGATGAGATGAGGTATGTTATCTGGGTTGATGAAGTTTTTGAGGGCCTGTTTTTGGCCAAGGGGGGATGGGCATGTTCATACTGGTTCTGATGCCAGTGGTCGACAGGATGGGCTTCTATGGTACAAGGATACAGGGCAACATTTTAATGGAGAGTTCTCGATGGCTGTGGTACAAGCAAATTTTTTACTTGAGGATCAGAGCCAAATCGAATCTGGTTGTTTGAGCTTGCATGATTCTGGGCCGTTTGGTACCTTTGTAGGGGTTTATGATGGACATGGTGGCCCTGAGACATCGCAGTACATCAATGATCAACTCTTTCAACATCTCAAGAGTATGTTGCTTGAACTATACTGGAATTTAGAACTTCTATTCTCTTTTAAGTAATTCAAATGTTTATTTGTAGTCAAATAATATATCAGCACACATTGGGCGATCATAGAGAAACTTATAAGAAGTTGAATCTTATCTTCTTCTTTTTTTAAATTTTATTGCCAATGTGAAATGTTCTCGTGTAGAACCAAACAATTTCAGTTCAGATCACGTTTCTAGTTACTAGGTCAATGACTGTGAAGTTAAAGGAATATCATTTATTGCAACCCATGTTTTGTGGGATTAATTTTTTTTTTGAAACTGGGATTTTGGGGGCTAGAGTTTAATGACACTTTCTTAATTGTGCAGGGTTTACTTCAGAGCAACAATCCATGTCAGTTGAGGTAATACGGAAGGCATTCCAAGCAACAGAAGAGGGGTTTATCTCTCTTGTTACCAAGCAATGGCCAATGAAACCGCAGATTGCAGCAGTTGGATCATGCTGTCTGGTTGGGATCATCTGCAATGGCGCTCTTTATATTGCCAACCTTGGTGACTCCCGTGCTGTTCTGGGGAGACTGGTCAAGGCAACAGGAGGGGTTCTGTCCATTCAGCTCTCGGATGAGCACAATGCCAGTATAGAGTCTGTGAGACAAGAATTGCATTCTTTGCACCCGGATGACTCGCAAATAGTAGTGTTAAGGCATAACGTGTGGCGTGTAAAGGGCATAATACAGGTACATTTTTCTTTGCGCTATTAATGGTTTTATATTATTCTGCCTCCGGTTTTTTTTTCCCGCCAGGTTAACCTCCCTCAATTAAGTGTTACTTATCTATGTTAATGCTTCCTATTTCTCTACCATTTCAATTAGTGTTTGCAATTAGATATCCATTGAGTCCAAATGCTGTGAAGCACTGGTTTGTTTCTCAACATTATTGGATTGAGATGATGCGATATGGATTTCCTTTTTTGAAAAAATAAATGTCTAAGAATCTTCTCTTTGCTTTTCATTGTCTGATAATTATGGAGTAATAAAATGGGAGGACATTAAATGCTGAAATGCCTATCATGGCTTCACAAAAACTCTATTATTAGGCAATATTTTAGTGATCTTTGACTCCATCTCGCATTGATCCAATAATGTGAGCTGTTTGATGAGAAGCATGTGTTCTTGGGATTTAAGTTTACACAAATTTTACTCACTGGGGAAGTGAAAAGTAAAGAAGAATAGAGAAGAAGAGAAGAAGAAAAAAGCACCTCAACTGCTTTTTTTTGTTTTTTATGGAAAAACCAATTCTTCTCCTCTGCTAGATTTGCTTATTCTATATGCTTAAGTTCTCTGGTTTAAGAATGGTTGCAGCTTTTTTTGTTATTTTGACTTTAAAGGTAAAGGTTCTGATGTTGATTTTTGGCAGCTGATACACGAGAAAGCTATTTGACAAGTAGTAGTCTGATAAACGTGAGTGCTAGGAAAGAGCAACAAAAAACTTGAAGTCCAACCAATGTATTGTGCCAAGTGCTTGTGCAAAATGAGTGTGAAAGCAGTGACGAAATATATACACAGCCACTTGAGTAGTTTAAGCCTGGTCTAGATGTTTTAGATTGGTACATTTCTCTGGGATATCAGTTGGGATAATGCTTTGTTGTCTATTGAGCTAAGTTGAGTATATTTGTTTGAGATATTACAACCCTTAAAAAATGATATTTGTCAAACTTATCTGGAGTGTCTGAGGTCTCTGGACAACCTTAATTAAGCTCTTTCTTTATTATCTCTCTTTTTTTGGGAACTAGGTGTCGGTGGGTGTGGCTTGTTTCTTCTATAGATTGCTTTCCTGCACACAGTGGCCGGGTGGGGAATTTCAGCTATAGTAAAAGTTTTTATTGGGAAATATATCTCGGGAGTCAGTACGATTGCTGACCTGATTGGGTGCAGTGTATTGGTCATGGGTTGAAAGCATGGAGGCACTGCAAAATTATTTTCTTGATGTACATATTTGGGTGCTGTAATGCAAAATATTCACCTATAAACTACTTTTCTAGCCCTGTTGGCGTCATCCATGTTGCATCACCACAACTCTGACAAACTACCGTCGTATATGAAGTTTCTTGTCTGCCTTTATTACTTGAAAATGCACAAGTGCATTTTTCCGAAGTTCTACCTTTTATGATGCATATCTTAAGCTTTTTGATTATTGGTATTCTCAGATTGTCAGAATATTTTGTGTTGCAGATTTCAAGATCCATTGGTGATTTGTATCTGAAGAAGGCAGAATTCAACAGGGAGCCATTATTTGCTAAATTTCGCCTTCGTGAACCTTTGAGAAGACCAATACTGAGCTCAGACCCATCAATTTCAGTGCATCAATTGGAGCCACATGATCAGTTCGTTATATTTGCATCAGATGGTCTCTGGGAGCACCTAAGCAACCAAGAAGCAGTTGATATAGTTCAAAATCATCCCCGCAGTGTAAGCATTCTATACTTTATTTTAAATATATGCGCACCTTAGTTGATTTGTTGTTGTTGCTTTTTGCTATACTTAGCATCATCATCCATTAGAATTGTTTACTCTGGCCTACTGGTAGCTTTTATTCATTCCTCTATTTGATGATAGGATTTTGTCTCTATTGCAGGGAAGTGCTAGGAGATTGGTAAAAGTTGCACTGCAAGAAGCAGCGAAGAAGAGAGAGATGAGGTACTCAGACTTGAAAAAGATTGACCGCGGAGTTCGTAGGCATTTCCACGATGACATCACAGTGATTGTATTGTTCCTTGACTCAAACCTCTTGTGCAGGGCAAGCTCAGTGAAGAGTCACAACCTATCTGTGAAAGGGGGTGGAGTCAAGCTTCCTCCTAAATCTCTTGGATCTTGACGAAGCAGTCCCCTAATGTTGTTGTCTGTTGTACTATTCTGCTGTGAATACTACCAGGTAGCTTCTGAAGAGAGATAAAGAAGAGCAGGCCATCAATTCTTTAATGTACGCTGTCAGTAACTGTTTACTGAGAACTAATTCTTGGGTTTAGTTTCTGTCCCAAGAAAAAGAGAACTGGAAAGGCCAGTCGACAGATCATCATAGTTATATCCTTAGGAATTTTATTCAACTTTATTGTTTTTTTCTCCTGTTATGCCTTGTCTCTGTTTTTGGCTTTTATCAATTGTATGACTCGACGCTGTAAATTTCTGTATTGATCGATGAATTTCTTTGAGTTACATCTGACTTGTCACTAACATGGAACACAATNGCTGTAAATTTCTGTATTGATCGATGAATTTCTTTGAGTTACATCTGACTTGTCACTAACATGGAACACAATGTCACCTTGGTGGAGCTGTGGGATACCACTTACAGCTGATGAAAGTAGGCAAGAAAGTAAATCTCAGCTGTCCGAGAAAATCAAAATACTGGTGGTGGTTGTGTAAAGCCCGGTTAAAAAAAAAAATAGTATTATTATTATTAAAAATCTAAATTTAAGGGGTAAAATAATAATTAATGATTAAATTATGGGTCAAAAATATAAATTTTTTAAAAAATAAAGTTATATATAAGTGGAACACAAAAATCTTCCACTTTTCTTCTTCCGGTGCGCTGCCGAGAGAGAAAGGTGAGTATTGTTTTATTTTTTCTCTTTTTTTCATTCTCAGATTTACAAAGATTGACTCGTTTAATCGCTTCGGGCCAAAAATTAAAGTTGTTCTACTCAGCGAGAGCTACGCAACCACACCAAATATCATATTTTTCTCCGAAAGAATATCAAAAACGATAATTTATGCCTAAAGTTTGAGAAGTTAAATTGGGTTTTCTCGAAATTTCAGTATGTTGGCTCACGCTACGAGGGGTAAGATTTTTCCTATTTAGATTTACTTTCAACCTAAAATATGACATATGAAATGGGTAGCCTATGGGTGTATATCACATGTTAGGTCTTGACTAGTGTAACTAGTGGGTCAAATATATGATTTATAATTAACTTTATAATTAGAAAAATCCTATTATGATTAATTTGGTGTAAGTTAATATTAGTGGTTTAAAGCATGTTAATTGTACGTTAGCATTATTTTATGTTTTAAATGACATATCAAGTTTAATAAAATTATTAGCTTGTTATGTGATTATTGAATAATATGTATGTTAAATGATTATTTAGCATATAATTATTGTGGTGGACTTGTGCTTATGTTTATAGAATTGATAAACATGTTGTCATGTTGAAAATGTCATTGTATTGTATTATTTATGTAATGAACATTGTAAATGGTACCAAAGATAATTGCACATTGAAATGTCATTATGTATGAGTTACATTACATTCATCATGGGCATTGACATAAGTGGGAGTGTGTGCATGGGATGAAATCAATCACCACACAAGTGGTTAATTGTGGGCTCAGAAAAGTCGAACCAAGGTCCAGCTGAATCACACGAAAAATTAAATAGATAAACGTGTCAGTGATAGTAAGAAGGGATAGATTCTCACTTGGGTGCAAGACCCACTTACTTGATTTATACATTTTTCGACAGTGAAAATTCAGAAAAGTGTAACGGCCAAAATGAAGCCGCAGGTGGGATGTCCTGAGAATCCGTTGATGGTTGGTGTCTCATTAGTGTAATACCATAAATCATTTCTCCACAAAGACACAAGAAAATAAATTAATTAGTTATTGAATGTACATAACACTAATGACGGGGCTTGGAATGCTCGGATAGATACGCATGACATTGCATGTGTTATAGAATCAGGATGTAACTTGGTGTTGGTATTGTGTTCGTGAGTCTCATCTCATGGCATGACATGATTTATGATATTTGTTCATAATAAAAATATTTGAATGATTGCATGAAATGATTGTTATATGTAACATTTCACATGCATTTAAGTTGAAAGGTATTATCTATAAGAGTTACCCTATTGAACGTTGGCTCACCCTTTATGGAAATATTTTTCAGGTATTGCACAAGCGTCCACTGAAGGCGAGGTTATGGGCCCGCTTTGACGTTAGAGCCGGTCAGTGGCTCTTCTTTTGACATCGTAGTCCCTTGTTTATAATTACTTTTGACCTTGTGTAATTTTTGTAACAAAAACTTGTTTATATTTAAAAGGCATGGATAAGTGACTCTTTTGAGACATTTATTCTTTTATGAATGAATATACGTAATGATGATGATTATGATAGTATTCGATACTATACAATTGTGAATGAATGGATAGACCTGGTGTGACCAATATTATACAAGTTGCGTTTTTGGTAGACCTTCTTGTACAAAAGAGACTCTGTCTAAATTTTGTTAAGTTATGGATCTCGATAAATGAAACATAACGATATGATATCGAATTACATGGTATCCACAGATATTCTGCGGGTTAATAAGTAATTAATCGGATAATTACAGATACAAAAAATTTGGGGTGTCATAGGTTGTGTAATGTTGAAGAGCTCCTCACGAACTGGCTTTTTTTTTTTATCATTGAATCCTTACAGTTTGAACAATGAATAAGGATTTGAACAAAAAAAAAAAAAAACAATGAATAAGGATAACGTTAAAAAGGAGTAAAAAAATATAAAGATCTTGTAAGGGTACAAAATAAGTAAAATTTAAGTTTTAAATGAGTAAAAGACAGATTAAGATCAAAAATATTTCTATATCAATGTTTAATTACTTGATATTTATTTATTTTGGTTCAACGGTTTGTTCAAGTTACGTTGATTAATTCTTTATCTGGTTTGATTACAAGTAGGTCATTTATGTCTGAATTAAAGTATTCATGAAAGATAAGGTCATGTTTGGTTATTATCTCGAAAACAGTTTTTTGTTCTCAAAATTTTAAAAACACTCAAAACTTGTTTGTTTCACATTTTTATTCTCTAAAATTTGGAAAAAAATAAGATTTGAGTCAAAGAAATGGAAAACAAGTGTAGCATTTTTGTTCTCCTTATTTCCAAAATTTTCAAAAAAAACTCTGGTATATATCTATATAATAAAACAGAAGTGTGTTTGAATTTTATCCTAGTATATATATAAAACATATACGGATATTTATACATGCATATATAAAAACGTATATATGTATATATATATTGTGTGTGAGGGGTATATATATGGGTATATATATATTTTTTAAAATTAATATATATTGAGGCTGTCCAAACAGGTTTTACTATTTTCTGTATTGTAAAATTGTTTTTGAAATCATATAACTAAACAAGTTTTTTATCTCAAAAAATATCAAAACCACGTTCTTAAAAATATTATCAAAAACTATTTTCGGATACTATTTTTTAAAATACAAACCAAACAAGCCTTAAATTTATCATGACCTAGTCCTAATGGTTCGATTAAAAAAAGGTCATTCACACCGAAATTAAAATATTCATAAAAAATAAATTTTTCATAAACTAATCTAAAAAAATTATCAAAAATACTTCATATTTATTTTTGACCTTATATTTTGATTACTCTGGCTGCCAATCTTAAAAGATGTGAGTATGACCATCATGCATGCTTGTGGTACGGACTGTGGCACATGCTAAAAATTTCCTTCTCCGTCTCTGGGTGAGTGGGTGGATATGTGTGTATAGCCGTTGAAAACAGTTGCAGATAAAAGGAAAAAATGTTGGCNCTTCATATTTATTTTTGACCTTATATTTTGATTACTCTGGCTGCCAGTCTTAAAAGATGTGAGTATGACCATCATGCGTGCTTGTGGTACGGACTGTGGCACATGCTAAAAATTTCCTTCTCCGTCTCTGGGTGAGTGGGTGGATATGTGTGTATAGCCGTTGAAAACAGTTGCAGACAAAAGGAAAAAATGTTGTTACTGGAGCGTAACACCTTTCTTTTCATATGAACATAGGTGTGCGTTACGCTGTACAGCACAGGATCAACAAAGCCATGTCAATGGACAGCAAAAGAAGAAGATAATTGTAGTTGGTTCCGGTTGGGCTGGCCTAGGCGCTGCCCACCACCTCTGCAAACAGGTTCTTCTCTCCCTCTCACACACACACGCACANATGGACAGCAAAAGAAGAAGATAATTGTAGTTGGTTCCGGTTGGGCTGGCCTAGGCGATGCCCACCACCTCTGCAAACAGGTTCTTCTCTCCCTCTCACACACACACGCACACACACAATTTGGAGACTAGATTGTGAGGCATGGTTCTTCGTTTGATTTCAGGGCTTTGACGTCACAGTCCTTGAAGGTGGTTATGGAATTGAATCCAATAAAATGTCGCTTAGTCCCGATGAAATCGGTATCCGCGGTAATTGATGATGCTCTGTACTCAGAACAACCTAAAATCTTAATGGACTTTTTTTTTGCCTTATCCGCTAACTCTGTAGAATCCAGAAATTGGATTCAATGGCACAAGCCTTTTCATGATAAAGAAAACCAATCTTTATGCAACAATTTAGAAATAGTAAAAAGCATGATTTTTACTCTAATATTGAGTCAAAGTAAAAAACTTGATTTTATACAACAAATTCAAATTTAAAAAAAGACCAACCCAAATTTAAATTCGGCTAAAGTATGACCATCGATCTTTAAATGAGATTGAAATCCGACCATCAGAGATTTGAGTCTTCCTAATTTGAGTAAAAATTAGAGTCCCCTTCGCTTGGTATAACTGCAACTTGTTTTTAGCCTGTGTATATTCAAGTTTGTCCAAATTTGAGTAATCCTTTCAATGGTTGGAGATGCTCAACTTGAATGAAGAGAAATATGCTGTTTTTTAATGTAATAGTTACAATCAGGTAATGTTGATGATTGATTATTTAGGTCCCCTTCCACCAAAATGCCAAAGTTTGGACATGAAGTAGGAGGGCTAATACGATTCTTGTACATAGCTGTTATGATAATTGACATGATTGGTATTTCATCGAAATCTAATTGATATTTCTCCTATTGTCTCTAGGCTTCTGGTATCCGTATCAAAATATATTTAACCTAGTTAATGAGCTTGGTATAAAGCCTTTTACAAACTGGACCAAAACTGCACAATATTCTGGAGAGGGATTGGAGGTAATCTATGTGTCTGCTATTTAGTGCACCAAACACATTCGGCAANTTTCTCCTATTGTCTCTAGGCTTCTGGTATCCGTATCAAAATATATTTAACCTAGTTGATGAGCTTGGTATAAAGCCTTTTACAAACTGGACCAAAACTGCACAATATTCTGGAGAGGGATTTTAGGTAATCTATGTGTCTGCTATTTAGTGCACCAAACACATTCGGCAGAATGGGAAAGGTTTTGAAACTGTGCAGTGTAAACTATTCCTGGTATCTCCATCCCATTCTGATGGGTATGATGTCATACTATAAAATGACTGAAACTTCATGAGTCTTGTGTCCCTTACTAAAGGTAAAGACTAATATGTGTAGCTCCCTGTAATTCGAGTGAGATTGTCATCTCAGCCTATAAAATTGATTGCACAAAGTGGCTATTCATTTACCTCTCAAGTATTGGCTAAGTTTTTACTAGCACACCCTTTATGGTATCCACCACTGTGGTCTGCAATTTTTAGCATGGGTATGTTGAATGCTCAAAGTATCATTCTTGCTATACCGTTCCTTGTATAGCTTAAAGTAAATGCTTTGAAATATGTTGACAGAGGCAGGTTTATTTCTTCAGGTTGAATTTCCAATATTCCAAGATTTACCTCAGTTGCCTACTCTGTTTGGGACTCTCTTCTATACTCAGGTATGACTTTCATTGCCTCCTCATATCTTCTATACTATATCAGAGAAAGATGAAAGCAGCTTTCTGGTTGACAATACCATCCTTGTTGAATATTTTCAGTTTTTTCGAATGTCCTTGGTGGATCGGCTAACATCACTTCCCCTAATGGCTGCTGGTATGTTCTCCCTAGTCTTTTTTGAGTTATAACGATATGTTCGATAAGTTTCCATAAAATTTTCAGCTTGTCAACAAATTTCTCCTTCCCCTTGCAGTAGTTGACTTTGACAACACTGATACTGCCTGGAGAAAATGGGATCCAAGTAAGGAAAATGTTTGAGTTCACCTGTAAGCATTTCTGATCTTCCTACATGGATAAATTATTAAACTCTAGTTGCTTCAAATTATAAATCTAAAGGAGATTAGTTCAAGTGTCTGATTCAGAGATTTCAAATCCTAGTTACTGCAAGGGAGCTTTTTAAACAATTCCGCTGCTCAGAAAGGCTCTATAGAGATGTTCTTGGTCCACTACTTCAAGTGGGTTTGTTTGCACCAGCAGAGAGATGTAGTTCAGCTGCAACTTTGGGAATGCTATACTATTTCATTCTTGCTCACCAAGTTTGCTGAGTTGGTTTCATTTATAGAATACACGGGACTACTCAAGAAATGAGAGGTTATCTATATAAGGGCTAGTTATGAAAATTGCTACTGAGGATTGAGCAGTCTAAATGATTTTGAGCTGGAATAATGAAAACCAAAATTTATGCCATGTTATGACGATTCAAAAAGTTAAGTATTTGTAAATGAATTAATGAAAGCAAATCCATGATTATGAAAAATGAACATAAAGAAGGACATACCTTTTATTTCCTTTGTTTAGGGTGATAAACCCTGATTTCTTGAGTCTGCCTGCTGCTATTACCTTATCCCATAAGTAAGTTTTTGGAACAACTCTAAAAAATTTTGGGCTTTCACATACCATATCTCACTTCTGTGATTATGGACCAAGTCCTTGTATGAATCTCCCGTCATCTTTTTTCTTTGAGTGGGTCGTTTTCATTTTCATATGAATTTATAAATTTTTGCTTTTAATGGATTGTTCCAGAAGGATTTTGATTTAGTATGGTGCTGTGGGACAGTTAAAGAAAAGATTTTTGAGCCATGGATGGATTCCATGAGAAACCAAGGTTGTAAATTTCTGGAGGGTAGAAAAGTTACAGAATTCTTATTGAATGAAGAAACAGGATGCATTTCAGAACTAGCTTGTGACAAAGAGAGTTTAAAAGCTGATGCTGTAATATTAGCTGTTGGGATATCCTCATTGCAGGAAATTATAGAGAACAGGTGTGTTGAATCAGATTTTCTTCTCTCTCTCTTCCCTCAAATTCAGGACAGTATAAATTTCTCTTCTATATTTTCTCTCTATTATGAACCAGAATTTCAGAGTTCAATGCTATTCTGTCCTTGTTCTCTTGTTTAACTATGGATTGGGTTCTATGTAGCACAGCATTATGTACACGGGAGGAGTTTCAAAAAGTTTTGAACACATCTAGCATCGATCTACTCAGCACTAAGCTGTGGCTTGATAGGAAGGTGCATGCAGTTTTTAATTTCCCTTTCTTCTTTGCTGCCAGAAATTTTAAAATCTTGCATTTACCTGGCTTACATATAGCAGCACATCACTTGATAACCAATGTTCTAACAACTTGATTAGCTGAAAACTGTAAAAAGGACTAGTTCCTGTTTCACTGGTTCAGCCGTCGGTAAAAAATCTTAATGAAGGCATCACCTTATAGTCTATATATTGTTGAGATTATGTGAGAGGCAATTGTGGGAGGAGCAGCTGGTTGAACCACCACATGAATCACTGAAAATTTCAATCTTTCCCAGCAACATTACCTGCCTGCCTGCTGTGGTCTAGGAGAAAGCTATATGTTTTTGGCTTGACATAGAAGTGCTTAGTCCATCAAATTAGTCCTGCCAAAAAAGCGCCCATGTCTTCTGCTGGTGGTCTGAAAATAAGTTTCTGATAATCCTCCTTTGATATCATAGTGAATGGTTTTCATAGGAAGATGAAGCTGATTCTATGCTTTGAATTCCACCAATGATCAGGTTAACATTCCAAATGCAAGTGGGTGGGCATTTTTTGACTTGAACATGATTTACGATGAACATAAAGATGATCCAGAAACAGTCGTACAAGCTGACTTTATAAGTACATGTACCTCTATTCAGCAACAAGAAATTTTAGCAAATTTATTTGAAGACCTCAATTCTTATCTCTGTTTTTCTTGTGATATTTCCATTGCAGTATCATGCCAACGAGTTGTTACCACTAAAAGATGAGCAAGTAGTGGCAAAAGTTCTCTCTCGCCTTTCAAAGTGCATTAAGGACTTCGATAATGCCTCAGTGATTGATAAAGAGATTGAAAGATTTCCAAAATCCTTGACTCATTTCTTTCCAGGTGGCTTTTTCCTGGCTTATTATTCCTTTAAAAACTGCGTTTTTCCAAAAAAATTTATATGTTGTTGTGTGCAATTATCTGTATCTTAGCAACATAGGACAAACTTTTTAGACCATGCTTTAATAAAATACTAGTTTGATAGTAAGGGTGTGCTGGGTAGCAAGGATGGAGGACTCTTTTCTAAACTTCCTCACTTATGCACTTGAGTCCCAACATTTCATGGTNAATAAAATACTAGTTTGATAGTAAGGGTGTGCTGGGTAGCAAGGATGGAGGACTCTTGTCTAAACTTCCTCACTTATGCACTTGAGTCCCAACATTTCATGGGGAAAGTGAAACCCTACCTGTTGTTTCTTTCAATTAAATAAATCCAAAGAGAAAATTTTCTATTAAGTTTTCCAGTTGCTCGTGTAACCTGCAATATGTCCGGATAATGTTTTTTTCACTCTGTTCTGGTTGTGTATTTGACATTATGAACATGTAGTTTTGTTGAGTAAAAGCATATTGTATTCAGATAGAAATCAACACAAATCCCATTAATGAAAATCTTTATTGCTGACCGAGAGAGTGAGAGAGATGAAAGAAGATAACTAATCTACATATCTGGAGTGATATAAAGAGAGGAAAGTAAATATGGGAACATAGAAATAGGTCTGAAATTTTATGGAAGAGGGGAAATAAGAAAATATAGAAAATCAATATTTGATTAGAAAATCTTGTTTTGACCAATGTAGTGCGTATTGGGTGTGATTGTACTGCCTTCGATTTCTTTTTTGGGGATTTTTTCTCTTTTTGTTAGAGATGATAACTGAGCCTCTTATTCCAGCTCACCACCGATAATCTATCATTGGGGCTGACTTTTTTTTTTTGCAGAGTCATTTTCTGAGTTTAGCTTGTTTTTTCTTCTTCTTTTAATTTCTTCTGAAGGCTCATACAAGTACATGATGCGTGGATCAACATCTTTCCCAAATTTGTTCATGGCTGGAGACTGGGTGATAAATCGACATGGTTCATGGTCACAGGTGAATACTCTAAAGTACTCATTAGTATAAACCCTTGTTGCTATGGTTGATATCATAATAAGCAAGTTATTACTACTGTTTGTGAATGATCCAACAGGAGAAATCATATGTGGTGGGACTTGAGGCTGCAAATAGGGTGGTGGACTATCTGGGAGAAGGAACCTTTGCCAAAATAATACCGGTAGAGTAAGATAAGCCTCACATTCAAGCACTACGCAGCCTCAACAGGAACCTTAATGAGATAAGCGCCCAACTTCCATGGTCTGATTATTTTCTCCAGTGATCCCGTCTTTGAATCACGTTTATTTTTCCTTCCATTTATTTAATTATGCCCGTGAAGCAGTTGGTTTAGAGAAAAGTAGTCAAAAAGTGACACATTACTCTGAAATGGACAGAAATTAAACTGAATTCAAACTCATCCTGCTTTTGATGTTCTCACTACAGGTGGTAGTACAACCAGGTTAAGATTCCCAGGATAAGGTGTCCACAAGCCTAATCCTCCCCTACTCTCTTTCAAAACACTATTGTTCCTCAACTCATCCAAAGATTTCACCCACTCTACTTTGGAGGAATGCTCACGAGTGTGTGGGTGCAAAACAAAGAGCGAGTTGTACTCAAAATTGGGGAACATATAGAATTTAAACACACCCCTAAACTATACACGATATAGCCAAAGCTCAACTGATCTCTTGGTGTAAAGAGGTCGACCTCATTGAACCACAAGCAACTAAACAAGTTATTCGCTGTATATGTTTGCGTATGTTTACTGCCCCTTTTCGCACATCTGCAATTACAGAAACTCCGTCAATATAGTACATCACAGCATGTAGAATTGTAGATCACTGAAATGACAAGGAATTACAATATTTTGGATTTTCTCATAATAAAAAAAAATGACAAAAATAGGAAGCAGGACTACTGGCGTGGACTGAGGCACAGGTCATGTCCTGGATCTTTTTGATCTAGTAGATGTATAAAACAGCTCTTTTATGAGTCTCACTTAGTCAGGAGCGCAAAAAAGGGTGCTATGTTGGTCGTGTGGTGACTCAAAACAAAAGTGAACACAAGAAGATGGAGTTCCTCACTTACCACTATCTGTGTTTTTCTTAGGACTCCAGGGCTCCATCTCGTGACTGTATATTTTCATGTGCAGATCAATAAGGGATCGAGCATATCGCTTCCTTCGTTTATTTGCATCTACCTCTTCATATATACTGCGATGATGCTTGTGCTGAGCAATAGCAAATGTGTGCTTCCCAAGCCACAAGTATCCGCAAGACCAATAATTCCTGTTATTTAAGTTAAGGGAAGTGCTATATGCACATAATTTAGTAACTTTATTTGGTGATCCAAGAAATTACAGCCATTGAATTGATAGTGAGTCTTAATTCCTAACTAATATGACAATGATAAGGTCACTAAATAAGATTCATGTTGCATTACTCGTTAGTTTTGTGATACTCAAGCTACAAAAGGAAAACAACTTCGAATTCAGATCTCCATAGGAATCAAGTACAGAAGACCATACCTTTCAAGAATAAGCAATGGATCAACTATTAGCTCCATTTTACCATCAATCCATATGCTGTACTGTGCTTGAGGAAATAGTCTTTGGGTTAATATATTGGGAACCCTCCCATTCCTTCTGGGTTCATCATAAGGTTGATGCTTCAGCAGAACAAGACGCCAGATAGCCACCCATTGTCCACCATCATTGTCCTCTCTTACTGTAACATTTTTTTTTCCCATGAAATCATGAGATATTTCATCCACCACCATAAGGAAACAGAAGAGACTTTTGAGAATGTTATGAACTGATGGTTAGAACTTGAAACATAAGAGACTTTGGAGAATGTTATGATTTTATGGTTAGAACTTGTCTTTGAAAATCGGCTTGTAAAGGAAGGGTGTCTACGAGTTTATATACACACATTTAATTTTATTTTTTATCAATGTAGAATTATAATATTTCATCACGCTTCTGTAGTCAGCGGCCCACTGTATCGATACTGGCCTAAGAGTAACTCTTTTCTTTTCGCGACTTCACTCATCTATCAGTATTGAATGAGATAGTATTTTCCTCATACATAATATCAAGTCATCTTAATCCACCCTATAGATGGTTCATTCCGTGACTTGACCACAAAGAGTCGTAGTTCACATTGTGTTCAATCACATACTCAACATGGTGATTAGCTCTAATACCAATTATTATAAACTCATGGGCAGAACTTATGACTGAATATCTTCTTACAAGAGAAGGGGTGTCCAAAAATTTATATACACAAATTTAATCTTATTTTTAATGGAACACTTGCTTGTGTTGGATAGCTGATGAGGTGACTGATATCCATAAAAAATGCCAGATGCAACCACAAATCTACAATTTTTGGCATTCTTGATGACTTTTGGATCCATCTGCACCACCATTCCGCATAAAACCACAATCCACCTGAAGACATAATGCAAACACAATACACTTTCTGATTGTTGGTTGATTGAGTTCACTCTGCTGAATCCCGAGGAGAGAATTGAACAAGGGGACTTATGCTATGAACCGCTGAGGGAAGGAGTAGTTTTGACTAAAAACGACGTCGTGGAAGTCCACAGTCCGATATTGCCTAGTTAAATGGATCTTTTTGGTTACTGGAAGATGGAAAAGCCACTGCGGCAATTAGTAAAACGACGTCACTTCGTATAACGTTCTACATAATATACGGAAACAGGCAAATAAAATTCCGGTGATAATTGAAGCAAATTATACTTTGCAGATGGAGGCAGAAGTGGTGGAAGGGGAGTTGGTGTTGCCAACCAAAATGAGCTTTAAGAAGATTCAGATGTACGAAAAGTATCCAAAGGGGCAAGCCAGAGGCAGGCACTGGAAACATCTCAAGCAGATCATTCAAGCCGAAAATTACCACAACTACCCTCCTCACGAACCTAACTGTGAGCTTCACTAAAGTAATCAACGTTAAATTTACTTTGGATTTTCTTATAATCATCGAAAAAAGATGCTAAATTCATCACCTCAATGTGTGTAGATATTTGATTTGATATTATGATTTGTATCAAAGTTTCCAATTACATGATGGCTTTAGTATTTTTCTGCATAATTGCAGTCATTATGTGTAAACTCTTGGCAATTAATCATTCATTGAATTCCCAAGAACGAAAATTCTACACAACTCCTCTTCTTTCTTTTACTTTGTCCTTAAATGAGTGGATAATGCATGATTGAAATGAATATCAAAGAAGGACACATATACCCGATCCCAATCTTGGTTTGATTATTGATGATATGTCTCACATAGAAAGATTTTATTTTCGTGGATTAAATTGATAACAAATATGTAGGGTTATTAGTCCATTGCTATGGGAATATTTGTAATTGATAAAATTTCAGAGCCAAGGCTAGTATGATTTATGAACCCCATTTAAGATTGACATCAAATAAGTCAATTAGTGGGCTGACGATAATATGTTGAAAATCAATCCAGGCGTGACAAAGTTTGCTGCTTTGTAGGTTTATGTCTATGTTTTACATTAGTTTGGCACCCTTTTAACATTTATATTTCACTGGAATTGAATTTTGGTTTTCTTCATTCTTAATAATTGTGGATGAACTAGTGCTTGTTCATCTGACTAAAGAAATGACATGCAGAACCGGTAGAAATGACGTGCAGAACTGGTAGTCCGTGTAAAATTCAAATAGGTTACCTAATACTTTCTGAAATGATATACCAATGGAAAGAACCAGAAAACTGATGTAATCAATCCCCCTACTTCAGCATCCCTTGTCAGTGGACAACATGTTTAGAAGCTTGGATGGTTTTAACAACAAATATCCTTCATTATTACACCAAATCCCTTATTTTTTTTCATTAAATTGTTAAACTTTGTCCTAGCTTGTATAGTTGTATAATGATGGGTGCTTTTGTTCGGCTTTGGAATTTTAACTGAAAGGAAATACTTTTAAAACTTGGAGTCATTTTCCAGTAATGACAATTCCTAAACTCTGACTTCAATGTGTCAAATAACATTAGCTCGTTGGTCTAGCTGTCACGAATTTTGAAGCATAGAGAGTCTGTGTGTTTTATAATCTATGGATCTACAGCCTCTCTACACTCTGTAGCACATGTCCAAACTATTGCTTTATGATCAAATCATGCCATAAGAACAACTTTTCACACCCTTATCCGCGACTATATTCACTCTCTTCATAATTATCAGTCATGTGAACTAAGCACGAGAGGTCTTGCATCTACTTGGTTAGATTGCGGATTTTTCATAAGGAAAAAGTTGCCACTACTTGCTATTCTTGAAAATTCACGTATGAAGTTTGACAGATATTCATTTGGTTGGATTTTGGAGGTCATAGGATGGACCACTTAGCAAACCACGTAGCATTTAGAGGTCCACATACATGGATTTAAAAACTGTCACTTGTTCAGTCCATGAAGAAAAATGTTTGAATAGTAATTTAGTGTTGCCAAGCCTGGAAAGGCAGTAAGTGAAAACCTTCTAGGTCAATGAAAATGTTATACCCACCTTTATAATTTATAAAGGGGCCTAGTTACCTGGCTTTCGTGTATTGCATAACAAGCCCAAAGAAAGCCCTCGCCGCTCTTATCATAATTTGAATTTTGCTCTAACCTCTTCTTCTCTTTTGATTGACAATTAATTAATTTTAGGCTTCAATTAAAATTTGTGTAGGGAGTAATCATCAGTTTGAATCATGGTAGCAGTTGACAATTTTGTGTATCTTCTGATAAACAGCTTGTTGACAACAAAACCTCCTGCTCCACTTAATCAAAATTTTCATGAATGTTGTACAATGTAAGGAGTTTCATGGCCAACCACGTATCTATTGGTGCAGAGGTGGGTGAGACCCCCCAGGCCTGAAAAGTTTTTTAGAATTATGTAGTATTGGCTTAGTGGCTCTTACAATTATGAAGAGTTTGCTCCCAAACTTTTCCCACTTTCCCAACTGCCCCCCTAAATACCAAAGACACCCCCCCCCCCCCCCAAAAAAAAA